CTGAGTTTGAAGCAATATAGATCGATCAATATTTGGTAATGACCTTTACATAGCACATAAGACAGGTTTGGTACATATTTTTGTAAGTTTTAATTTCGTTTTCAATTTTTATCACTTTAAATATTCAAAGAATTTTTTTTATTGTTGAATCATGATAAATCGATTGGTGATGAAGAAGTTTAAATAATGTAATTTTTAAAGGCAATCAAATATAAAAACATTGTACGAAAAAATTGCTTGTTACACATTACTCAATTCTCCGCAAAAATCTCCACATTCATTAAAACACCAAGTCGAATTTTATATTTTATATTTTATAATGTCATATACTAAACTATTATTGTCGTTATCACAAGAAAGAAAGGAATTTGTATATAAAACTTATATTGAAATAATTACTAATGCAACCGTTAATTCTGATAGAGAAAGTATGAAAGATTATTTTTTTTCATTAGTCAAGGAAAACAAGGAGCTTTCTGAAAATGAAAAAGAATATTGTAAGGAAAAGTTGATTTATGAGTTTGAATTAATTAATGCAACATATGAATTAGGAAAACCAAAAGAATGTAACAAATGTAAATTGACAAGATACTCTGATAGGTTCTGTGAAGGTTGTATTAGTTTAAAATTACAGAGTCTTTTCACCACTTGGACATCTGGAAATTACATAATTGATAATTTTATTCAACAATGTCAAATCAAATCATCTCTGCCAAATTATATATTGGAATGGATACCTTTTGAGCAATTTGATGATATAACAAAGTTGACAGAAGGCGGATTTAGTTCAATTTTTACTGCAAAATGGACAAGAGGATGTATTGTTGGTTATGACGAAAATAAAAAGGAATTTAGTTATTTTGGAAGGCAACTAGTAGTATTAAAAAGTTTAAACAATTCAAGTAATCCAGGAAAAGGTTTTTTTGATGAGGTTAGTAGTTGTCATTAAAACAATACTATATTATATATAATACTAATTGATCTTATATTTAATTACAGGCAATGAATTATTGTAAAATTAAAACGGAGTTGATTATTGAGTGCTATGGTATAACTAAATTCCCAGATAATGGAAATTATGCAATTGTTTTAAATTATGCTTCAGAAGGAAATTTAAGGGATTATTTACAAAAAAGTCATTTAACATTAAAAGACAGAATTACAATCTTTGAATTTTTATGTAATGCATTGGATGATATACACGAAAAAGATTTAATCCATTGTGATTTACATAGTGGTTTTTATACTTTTGTCAGGAGGTTGTTGTTATATTACAGATTTAGGATTATGTGGACCAGTTGATGAAAAATCTTCAAATAAAATCTATGGAATTTTATCATATGTTGCACCCGAGCTACTTAGAGGCAATAACACAAATAACACCAAAGAAACTGATATCTATAGTGTTGGGATGTTAATGTGGGAAATATTTGCAGGTCATCCACCATTTGATGATAGAGCTCACAATTATCATTTGGCTTTTGATATATGTGAAGGTTTACGACCACCAATATTACCTGAAATGCCATCTGATTATGCACAAATGATGCAAAGGTGTTGGGATGTGGACCCATCAAAAAGACCAACTAGTAGTGAGCTGTTTGTTTTTGCTATAAATAAAAATAGGGAAATTATTAATGATAATGGTAATAATGGTAATAATACTACTAGTAGTGATAGTAATGCTTCACAAGCACACATATCACATCCAGATGCATATCATAAAAGTAGAATATTAGATGACGAGATTGCTAAATCTAAAAGCTTAAAAATTTATACAAGTAATCATAGTTCATTAAATAATCTTGATTGTAACTCTTTTCTCTAGAATGCTAACAAAGGCGAATAAAAATTTCATTATTAATTAATTGGAAATTACCATCCATTAATTGTTACTAACAACATTAATTAATTAATAAACATTAGATTCTAGTGATAATTGTCAAAAGAAAGAATAGATTTAATCTCCACTATAAATTTATTATTATCTTTTTATTTTATCCTTATTTTGTTTCTCAAAGCTAAATTACAATAATGTTATGAAATAATAAATTTTTTGCATGTTTTTTTTTAAATGATGATATTGTGAGGTGTCATATAATTACGGCTTAACTTTTGGGCTACCCTTGTCAGTTAATAATAACTCACAATAATTCGGTGCTTGTCAATTAACTAGTTTACGAATTACTTTGGTTCTCGATCACTGCACCTAAAGTATACTTAATGGTACCAAATAATTGTAATAAATAAAGATGGCTCTTTTGCAATACTACAAAATTCCTTTTATTCATTTGTGATCAATTTGTTTCAGCTGTTTATATTTATTGGCGATTGGAAACTCGCTTTGGTTTACTTTGTCAAAGAACTTAAGTAGCTTGTTCAACAGCCTTACATTTACGATTGCAATAATATTACCAATATTTCCAATTAACCTTTGGACGATACTTTATTAGCATCCACTAGTTGACCAACCTTTGCTTACTCACTAAAGCAAATTATGTTACTAATCGTTGTTGACATTCACCAGTTAACCAATGTTAGTCCTAACCTTACTTACTTGCTCACTAAAGCAAATAAACGTGACTTTTTACCAAAGCTGCACGATTGTCGCCTTTTACCGTGGCACTAACTACGCTTGTTGCTTTTATCAAAGCGCTTTAAACAAAGAAAATAAAGACAATGTTTTTTATCTAAAAGTTTATTAACAATTAATTATATTTAATAAAAATAATGATTCTATCACAGTTTTATTTTATTGGAATGTTAATCAACTATTATTTTCCCCTGCGAGGTCCTGAAGTTATGCCTTTTCAAGCGAAAACCAGAAGTTATCCTTGATGAAATTTTCGTTGATCACTACAATAAGGACAAAGATAAAGATGAGGTTATTATTGCAATAAAAATTACTTACACAGTAAATTTGATGATTAAAAAAGCTTTTGCGTAAATCAAAATTAGTTGATCTTGGAATATAAAGTACCGAATCCTAATACTAATACTAATCGATGGTTTTATCTACTCCAATCATGTATCCTGTTATTAATATAAGAAATGTCGAGTTTAGTAGTAAATGAATGTGTGGGAACTGAATTCGTATTCAGCAAGAGAAAAACTTGGCTCTTTGGGAACAATTGATAAAACAAGGAGAGATTTGAGATACTCAAGAAAATATAAAAAAAAAGACCTTGGAACATATATTTACAAGTTTTTTTTGTGAGCTGTTATGTTTATTAACCTTTAAAGCAATTTTTTTTTTGACTTAATGGCAGCGAATTTGACGTAATAGTTTTACAACTTTGGTAAAATTTCGTCAAACAACATTAATCGCTAGTCAAGGTCAATCAATCAATCCAGATTGAATTTTAATCTTAAAGCAATCTGTTATAATAGTAATCACGAAAAACTCTCGTGAATTTTTTTTAAAAATACGCGTTATAGATTAAAATTTTTTTTCTGATTGGTCAATTAATATTTATTAACCAAATATAGCCCGTTAATCATTTCCAATTTTTTTGATAATAATTTCAACATGGAAATTGAATCTTCAGAGTGAGTATTTTTCAATGCTCAATCATTTTGTCAAGGAAATAAATTGGCTTTTGAATAATCGTATATTTGTTTTGTTTAAAAATATAAAATAAACAGTGTGATCCGTTTAATACTTCAATTTTTAAGAGAAAATAATCTTCCAAACACTTTTGCTGCTTTGCAAGTTTGTATATCAATTATTCAAATAAATTATCTTTAAACTTGTATGTATTCATAGATTTATCTTGCCTTTTAATTTTCCAGGAAGAATCAACCATTGCACTTAATACTGTGGATTCTATTGATTCATTTACCAATGAGATTATACAAGGGCACTGGGATGTTGTATTAAAAACAGTTTCTAATCTCAAAATACCACAAAAAAAATTAATTGATCTATATGAACAGGTTTTTATTGTGTACATAAATTTACGCATAATAATTTAGTTTCAAGTATTTGTAAAAAAAAGAATTCATCGATCCTACTTCAGATTGTTTTGGAACTGATAGAAATACGTGAATTGGGTGCTGCAAGAACTTTATTAAGACAAACTGATCCAATGCAACTGTTAAGAGATCATCAATCTGAGCGTTATCTACATCTTGAACATTTATTATCCAGAACTTGGTTTGATCCTAAAGAGGTTTTTATTATTAAATATTTAAGAAAAAATTATATTCATTATTGTTTAAATATAATGTGTACATATATATGTGTGTGTTATTTTATTCAGGCATATCCGCCCGATATGACCAAAGAAAAAAGACGTCAAATTATAGCACAAGGTTTTTTATTTTTTATTTTATATATATATATATATATTATTTATTTCCTATATAATAATTTTATATTGACTTATTGATTGGTTGATCGATTAATAAAATTCAGCCTTATCTAGCGAAGTGACAGTGGTTCCACCGGCAAGACTTTTATCATTACTTGGACAAGCTTTAAAATGGCAACATAATCAAGGTCTATTACCACCAGATACTGCTTTTGATTTATTTACGGGTTCTGCACCAACTGCAAAAGCGGAAGATGATGCTATACCAACTAAATGTTACAACACAATTAAAGTACAATTTATTTATTTTTTTAAAAAAAAATTATAATAGACTTTTTTAACCAACATTTACAACATGCCGATAATTATTATTTTATATACATACATATATTTTTTTTTATATATTACGAATTTAAAGTTTCCTAAGAAGCAACATGTTGAAGCAGCAGCATTTTCGCCTGATGGACAATATTTGGTGACCGGTAGTATGGATGGGTTTATTGAAATTTGGAATTATTTAACTGGCAAATTAAGAAAAGATTTCAAATATCAAGTGGAGGTTAATTAATCATAATTAATTTATATGTGTGTACGCGCTATTTTAACTAATCATCATTATTTATTTAATTTAGGATAATCAAATGATTATGGAAGATCCTGTATTATGTCTTAATTTTAGTAAAGATT